AAAAATAATTAATTTTTTTAGCATGTCAAATTTATCTTGTTCAATTAAAAAAAATCATCTTTGTTTTTACGTTTTTCTGTTTCTCCAGTAAATTTAATAATTTATTAAAAAAATACATTTTCTTTTTTTTTAACATTTCTTTTTTTTTACTCTCTTTTTCTTTCATGTTTTATTTAAAACAGAAGTTGGGTAATAATTACTGATAATTTATTTTTTATTTAAGAGACAAAAGTTACTTTGATATTCTAATTTTACTCAAAATATTTTCAAATATTATTTTTTTTAGAATCATATTCATCATGTACAAGGTCCAAGAGACACTCAAGGTAGAGGGTTACAGAGTAAGAGGCACAGTTTATGGGGATATATTGGAAAGATAACAGTTAACCACAGACTTGAACAGGTTAAGATTGTAGTGATTGAATTGCTAATAAATTTCTAAATACTGTTTAGCATTAAACAGAATTTTACTACCTAAGAAAAATAAATAAATAAAACTAAGTAGTACATAATATTATATTTGTTCTGTGGAACACATTATAATATACACCTATATGTGGGCATCAAGGTGATAGCTTTGCATTCATCTTGGTATGCATTCTTTTTGGTACATCTTGTGTGTGTGTACATATATAGGAAATAAACCCTATTTTCAATGCAATTACATACCTACATACATACCATATTAAAACATGCCCAAATTATATTTTCTACCCAATAACAGACAATATTTACAAATATGCCAAAAAGATTCCACAATACAACACACACTGTTTAAACCAAAGGGTCTGTTTGTTAGAAATTAAGATCACCATGTGCAATATTTAGAGGAGGCACGGTGAAGTAATGGATAGCGGCTTGGATTGAGGAATTGGAGAGCCGAGTTCGAATTCCAGTTGAATCCATTACATTCACTTATGTGCTAATACCCTTGGGAAAGGTGTGAATCCTCTTCTTCTCTCTCCAGCTATGGGTAAATAGCAGGACAGACTGGGTTCTATAGATGGCAACTGGTGTAGGAGAAGGAAAACTCTGAATTCAAAACCTGCGGAGGGTCGTTTGGGGACCTTGTGGCATGTAGTGCACCAAGTCTCTGTATTCAGCCCTTCAAAAAGTGTAGATGGTCCTGCACGAAACCTTCACCACTATAATCAAATCTCATGTGCTATACATGCGGGTTTGGGGACTGCTTGTGAATTCCAAATTCCCATGAAACTCTAATATTGGAGCCGGCTCAACCCACCTCAGGTGAATGCCATTACAAGAACAAGAAGAGATGTGCAATATTTGACCATTCAAAGAAAATTAAAACCCTATTTTTCTCAAACCTACTCTTGTGAAAAAATTTCTTGTAAAAATCCACAGATTTTGACTTTCAGCTGTCTCCAACCCATTCAAACACAAGAGAACATGTGCCTACGTAGCTTTTTCCTTCTCCACAGCATGTGCTGAAAGAAACTTATATTGGTGACTTCAAATGAATCATCTCCAACAACAACAGCAAGGATGATCAGTGAATTTTCACTGACAATCAGTTTTTTCCCAATTACAACTTTAATTGTAGATCAACTATTAATAAGTTTTTTCTAAATCAGAGATTTTTCTTTCGATCAACTACCTAAAGACTTTAGCTTAAGACTATTTTGAATTCATTTTCATATATTTATAAATTCAAATGATTTATTTAACAAGCATACCCATGTTTATTTGTCTAAACCACAGAGATTTCTGTGAACCAACTACCCAAAGACTTTAACTCAACTAAAGATTATTTTTTAATACTTTTTAACTTTTGAGTTTGTGTATATATGTTTGTAAAATGAAAATATATTATATACACAAACTAGTTTGCTGTATTATTTCCAAAGTCAATATGACTCCTGATAATACTATAGCTACTACATATATTTTGTTTACTTTTACTGTCATGTCACATAATCTAAGACTGGTTGTTAACTTTTTCTTTCCTAGCACCAATTTTCAAATACCTGTGCAAACTGGTGGCACCTATGTTAAAAATTGCACTGGTAAATGGAGCTGAATTAATGCAGCAAAATTATTATATGTAAGGAAAAGGGAGATCACTCCTCTCTGTGGGACGAGGTTGAAATAATAGACAGAGAATATCACTAGAAAATATAAAAACATAAGGAATCAGTGTAGTGAGGAGAATATTTCCCTACAAATTTGGATTTGGCCGTCAGACAAAAGACATAAAAATACTCCTACATCAAGAGGAGTAGCAGGTGGAGCATTAGTTTTTGCTGAAAACAGTCATTCACGGCTAAATATTCTCTTCCATAGTTTCTATTCTACATTATATTTCCCTGTACCAAAAGGTAATAAACTTGTTGCTAAACCAACTCTGGTTTTCTACCGTTGTTTTTGATAACTTGGTTACCACAATCAATGCATATACTAGGCCATAAAAATTTCCTAAGTTGGCTAAGCCTAGACACAAATACAATATGGGAACCAGTAATACAAAGTACTAGAGAAAAACAACAATAACAAAAAATTGCAATATGAGCTCTGTTAAAAAATGTTTAATGAAACATTAGCTTTATAAGTCCCCGAAATTTGTTCACATGGCCCAGTGGATAAAAGTGTTGGTTGAAGTAATCCAGTGACTTGACCCAAAGAGTGGTGAGTTCAATAGCTGACTTTAACAGTGGTGAACAAAAACTTGGAGATTTGAGTTACTAAAGGGAAATAACTGAAACTAAAATATCCGGAAGAGGCATGGCCCATGAAATGAGAAAAAAGTACCCTCATGAACTGAATAAATTCAGTTTGAAATTCCGACATATATCACCTGAAGAAGGCCGGAGTGTACTATGTTGTGAATATGACAATAAAGATGAGGACTAAAGTCCGAACAATGTAAATAGTGTAAAAAATTAGTCACATGTAAGACATAGTAGGAACAAACAAGCTATGGTCGCCACATCAATTGTCAAAGATGCCAAACTTTGGCTTACAGGTTTTTTCTCTATTAGTGCAAAAACTAGAGGAAAATTTGAACTTGATTTAACAATTCCATTTTCCTTGATAACCACTATACAAATTGCACAAGTGATAAAATAAATTATTGTACTGCCCTGTTAAAATGATAGTTACTCCCTACCCCCACCAGCACATGTGTACACCTTTCAACCTTTGAGAGTTTGCAGTGGCCCAAGTAGGTGCTGCCACCCATGTTAAGAATCACTTGTATAAGAAAATACAACATATTTATCAACTGAAACAAAGTCTGTAACACATTTGATTTACTTTGACTCGCATGAACTATTATTCTTATATTTTTATTGCTATAGATGTTATTATAGATGCAATGCTTCAACTTTGCCATCTTCAAGAGTCCATTATGGGATATCTTATATTTTTATTACAGTATCGTTTTTGTCCCAGTGATGCTAGTTCTTGTTATTTCTACCTAATGGGAGTAAATTGTTTCACTATCTGATCCAGGGATTCAAATCCCACAAGATGATAGCAAGACTTAGCTAATCAAAGCTTTTATCCATTAGGCCACCTTCTCAAAGGACATATCAGCTAAGAACAAAAATGAAGTTCTTAATAAAATGTAAACTAAGTTTTGTTAAGTTAGAAGAGAAATTTAATGTTAGAGAAAAGTTGCCTCTTTTTATAAAAAGGTTGCACATTTAGATTGCATTCAGGTCTCCAGATAATGGGTGTGCGATGAAAGAAAGGTTTATTCTTCCATTTGTATTTCCCCCATTATGAGCATTATTATATTCATAATATCCACTGTATTTCATGGACAGAATGGAATAGATGAAAGAAAAATGAATGAAATACATGCTTTGTGCATCGAGAGAGTTTTATGATGCTAAGTCCTACACCTATTTATATATACATTTGTGACACACACAGAAATTATAACATGTATGGAACAACAGGTAGTGTGTATAAAAAAGGGAGACTTACTTGTAATATTTCCCATCAGGAAAACTGGAGCAGTTTTTCTATGAACCTGGTGAGGACATATGGTTTTTCATGTAAAACCTACTGCTATGGCCTAGGGACATCCTTCTTCTCTGGGCTTTACATATATATGTATATATGTGGATAAAGTTTTCAAGATACATTTCATTCTTTAGCACTTCATTGGATTAGTTTTGTTTACCTTGATGCAACTATAGATGCACACAAACAAGAGATGCTGGTAATTTTAAATTAAAACCAAATACCTTGTAAATGGCTAATGACTTACAGAGGCATTGCTTTCCAAATACATAGCTACTATATATATATATATATATATATATATATATATATATATATATATAATTATTTATTTAAAAAAAAATTATAACATGAATATGTTATAAAATCACTACAAAAATAGCCATTTTGTTTCAACACCTCCGGTGTCTTATCAAGTGATGATGTTGAATATATAATATATATATATATATATATATGTGTGTGTGTGTGTGTGTGTGTGTGTGTGATTCAATTAAAAAATCAAAACTTGACAAAATGTAATATTTGCCAAAAAATAGTTAGATCAATGGAAAATGCTCAGTATGAATTTAAAAATTATAGAGCAATTTAAGATATAAAATTTATAAGAAAATGAACCTTCCTACTCAGGAAGTTTGGTTTATATATATATATATATATATATATATATATATATATATATATACTACTGAACATAATTGTAATAAACATTTAAATATATGGAAATTCTATTGCATCAACCTTTTTAAATTGAAAATGATGTGTATATTTTAGAATTACCATTTTGTTATCATAGTAACAAAATACATATATATGTGATGGCTGGCAATTCCTTAAATGAGTATAATAATTTCAAAAATACTAAATTTAGGCATGTTAGAAATGCCCATGCAAAATGTAAGTCATATACAACTTACACCACCTTGCAAAGACTCACCCTAAAATAAGCCAAGTAATCCAGAGAGAAGCTGATATTTGGCTTAACCAAGCTAGAGATTGTTGTATTAAAGATGCCTTCTCCTCTTATTTTTCCAAGGAATATCTACAAGACAACAGGGTTTGAAGTTTTCTTTCTTTTAATGGATTGCTTTCACCGTACCTTAGGAGCTCCATCTGTCCCAACATGGTGGAACTCATCTTGTGACTGATGAAGACACTCATTAAAACTCTCTTAATTTTCTCTTCATTTTCTTTTCACTTTCTTTTGTCCATTTCTTCTTTTTCTTTTTTTTTAACACATTTTAAATATCATCATTTCACTACTGTTGATATTTCAAATGGCTTTTGAGACCTGCAAGAATCCTGTAGTTCCTCTGACATTGCCAACATGTCAGTCTTCCTGCTGAAGATTGCCTTTCTGAATGATGACTGTGGCAATATTGTGTGATATACATGCATATATATATATATATATATATATATATATATGATAATGGCTTCCTCATTCTCAAGTATAGTTACTTGAAGCAATTTTGAATCAGTTTCATATGAGCAATGTAGATGTGTCTTTCCTGGCTGTCAAGGGACTGATACACTTTGGCACAGATATTACATACATGCATGATGGCTGGCTGCTTATTTCCTGAGTACACTTGTTTGCTAGGGTGACTCACTAATCCCTGTGGCAGACAGCTGCTCAGTCACATTTGTGTTTCTTTAACACTCACAGACCCAACCTGTGGTTTATACTGCAACTATACTGAACAGATGTTACCATTACATTTTCTGGGAGTGATCACATAATCTGGCATGATCAGGAGTTGAACAAAGCCAGTACACTCAAATGCTTGGTCAACAATGACTTGTGATTTCATGATAGCACAGTCATTAACATCTTCTTAGCAGGTTTGTTTATCAAGCTTCCCTCATGAGTCATGGTTGTCAAGTACTTCCATTGGCACCAAATACTGTGATCATTTCCCCAGGCCATACATTGTGAGCCTCTCACTGCTCTATCACTATTTCTATAACATGCATTCTGATGCGCTACATTCCTTGGTTCCACTAGCCATGACCTTTACAAATGGAACCTGCCATACCACATACACAAGGATGAATCATTCTCATTCTCTTCATATTTCATTAGTAAGTTCCCCTCAGCCAGCTTCTTCCCATAAACTGCTGCTTTGTGGAACAGACACCTGGCAGGATGTTTTCCCAATCACTACAATCTTGATCTCTTCAAGTCTCTTCTTCACTTCTTGCCTTTTCTTATACTAATACAACACCACACAGTGACCATCTACCTCAAGCATCTCTTGGGCCTTGTATTGGATGAATATTATATTAAAAAAAGAAAAAAAAAGAGTGACCTCTTTGACAAAATCAATCATGGTGAGATTTGAATCTGAATCTCATGGTTGAAACTGGGAGCTTACTGTCAGTGTTTCTATATATAATTATTTTGTCAGAGGACATCAGCTAAGATAAGTTCTCCTTTTGTCCTTATTCATAGGTTTCTTCTTTTCTGGATATAAAGTATGTAAAAATTGTCTGAATGTTCTGTATGTCAAAGTATTTTTGGCTATTCTTTTAGCCATTATCAGAGATGGTTTTTATTTTTAACTGAATGTGTACGTTTTTATGAATGTATCTAGAGTAAAGGCAATGTTTTTTTTTTATCTTCTAAACACAGCAAATTGTAAACATGTTCATAGTTGATGTTATTGAGAGTTAGCTTTTTCTTTTTTATTATCAATGCTCCCATTATTTTTAGCCTTTTTTTACATGTGGTTCAGGCTTGGACATACAAAACATTCAGGCAAATTTTACACACTTTATGTTCAGAAAAGGAAAATCTTATACAAACATAAGAAAAATTAAATAAAAAGCTTAACTGCAGTAATTTGTCAGTCATCTTTAATAAAAGTTGTATAAAAGAAGGATTTGTCTATATTTCTGAGATGAGATATTATGCACATTATTGACATTATTTGGACTGTTGTCCTCATCTTTGTCGCCATATTTATTCAGAGGAAAATTAACAGAAGATAACTGATAACTGACATCCATTAAACATGGCATGTGGGACTAGAACAGTCTACCTTAGTGATCAAAATAAAGGGTTCAGTTCAACATTCCAACCACCTGAAGAAGGCCAGAGCATACAACGGCTGAAACGTAATAAATATGGCAACAAATATGAGGACAATAGTTTGAATAATGTAAATAATATGAAAAGAAGGATTGCTGTCCAAATACACATTTATATATATATATATATATATATATATACAGGGTGTGATGGGCAAATTGTTACCATTTTATATTTTTAATTTCATGTGTGTGGATTGTTTGTTTTTGATTTTTTTGACTGCACAGTATAGTAGGGTCAGTTAGGTACCATTGGGTTAAAAATAACACCATGATGCAATTCAATTCGCCAGAAATTTGGAAACAGCATGCTGTATTGCTTGGAATTTGCACTGGAAGCTCCAATTCGAACATTTCAGAGTGTTTGGTTGTCAATCTTAGGACAGTGCAGAGGATTTGGAAAGAGTTGGGTGATATATCCCATCAACATGGTGTTTGGAGTGATCACTAGTGATAGTGATGTTATGCCTCCATTCATCTTCCCACAGGGCCTCAGATTCAGCATCGAGGCTACATCAAGTGTCATGAGAAGGTAGTGCTGCCCTGGGGCAAGATTGTGGCTGCTGAAAGACCCTATGGATGAGTCTAATGGTGATTATGATGGTATGGCAACTCAGCAAACTCACTCTAATTATTCTGACAAGGAAAGAACGCCCAAATTTGTTGGTGAGAGCCTCAGACTCAACACAGAGGCCTATATCAAGTGCCTTGAGGAGATAGTGCTGTCTTGGGTCAAAAGGGTAGCTGCTAGAAGATCCTATGTCTGGCAACAGGACTGTACCATGCTGCACAAACAGGATAACCCAGTCATGGCTGTCAGATGATTTTTGCAACCACATCACCCCTTACATCTGGTCACCTAAATCCCCAGACTGCAATATGCTTGATTATTGTGCATGGGGTGCAGTTGAGTGAGAGACCAACAAAACTTCTTGTAAAACCAAAGATGAACTGAAAGTAAGGATTATGGCAGCATTCAATAACTTAAACAAAGAGATCATTCAAAAGAGTTGCAGGAGATTCCAAAGTTGTTTGGAGGCTGTGGATGAGACCAATGGTGATTTTATTGAATAAATTTACTCTTTAGAATTTCAAGATATTTTCGTGTAATTTTGGTAAATATAACCGTTAAAATGAGATGTCAGTATTATTTTCATTTTTGTGTAGACAAATTTTAGACGACAACTTATCCATCGCACCCTGTATATGTATGTGTGTGTATGTAAAAGTGGACACTGAGGACAACAGCAATTGGCAACAATCTGTTTCATGCTTGAATACAATCTTCAGGCAATGAATATTGTGTTCAAGCATGATTCTTTAGTCTGTAGATTGTGTTTATGTATGAAACCGAATGTCACCACTCAGTGTTGAACTTAGTGTTCACTTTTATACTTACACATGCTTTATCCCTTATATGGAGCACTTTTACCCATAAATATAGTATACTATATTTTTATAATATATATATATATATATATATATATATATATATATATATATATATGAATAAAAAATCCATCCCTTTCTTTACAGATTGCTTTGTTTATGTTGGGATACAAAACTGAGCAGATATGTGTATTTTGAGTTGGAGAAAGATCTGTTTAAAGGCACTATTCACACACACACACACACACACACACACACACACACACACACACACACACACACACACACACACACACACATATATATATGTATGCATATAACTAAAATATATCTGTAAATAAATGAATAAAGACAAAAGGGAAACTCATTTTAGTTGAACGCACAATTGATTTTACTTTTGGTTCTGAGACTAACAACACTTTACGCTTCCTAGATATCATGCTACATAGAACTTATAATGATCTTAAGTTGAAGGCTTACAAAAATCTACTAACAAAAATGACCTTATTAATTTCTATTTTCATCACTGTAACAGAATAAAATCTGGAATAATTATAAGATTCTATTTAAGAGCACTAAGAATCTGCAGCTCCCATTATTTACCTGAAGAAGAAATATACATAGAAAATACTTTCAAAAACCTTCAATATTCTCATTATTTCATCCACAACATTAAGAGAAAGGCATACAAAATATACAACAACAAAAAGCTAATGGCATTAATAACAGCAACAATAACAATGACAATGAACTATATAAAAACAGACACATAATACGACCTTACATCTACTATCTAAAACAATTTATCCAACCTTAACAATATCAAAATAATTACAACCACATCCAAAGCTATAAGGAATATGATCAGAACCAAAAATATCCATAAGAAAAATAAATCTGAAGCAGGTAGATATAAAATAAACTGTCACAATTGTTTCTTACAATGTATTGGGGAAACTTGCAGAAATTTAAAAAAACACATATCTATGAACACAGAAATTTATCAAATGCATTAGCCATCTATAGAAATAAATTCAACCAAAACTTTGATCTAAAGAATGTCACACTTATTAAAAGAGAATATAATTTAATTAGACAAAAAATTTTGAGAGTTCTGCTTATTTGAATCTTACTAAAATATAAATCTGTGACTCATATTTAAAATATTTCGTTTCCTGAAAGAAATACTCCTTTTCCAAGCCAAAATAAATGACTAAAAAATTTTAAAAATGAAAAGAAAATGGTTAAATTCAAAAGCCATTATTTAAAATATATAATACATAAATTAATCTCAAACAAAAATATAAATAATAATTATATCATAAAAAATTTCAGTAACAATAACATTTACTCACTTTCATTGATTAGACATTAAATTACATCACTTTGCATCTAGCATAATTTGCCTTGACTTTCAGTTATCCTGATATATATTTATAAGCATTCTTAAATTTAAAAATTCTGAATAACTAATATTTTACTTCTGTTTATAAATACATGTTGCAAAATAAAAACTTTCTATTTACCTTAGTAAAGTCCATCAGAGGATCAAACACAGATACTGACACATAGAGGGAAATGCTAAAAAATTCTTGGCCTCACTCACTTGTCAAAAATTTGATATTTTTCAGTACACTAGTATTCATTATATATATATATATATATATATATATATATATATATATTTCATAGAAAAAGTATAAATATAGGATCTAATAATAAGTTCAATAGATTTATCAAATATCTGGCCCTGATGTTCATTTCATTGTGAAATTCTTGAGTTGCCTAACTAGATAATTTACTAGAACTATTCTTAATTTATTGAATATATATATATATATATATATATATATATATATATATATATATATATATATATATAGTATCCTAGGATAATGAGTGTTTTTCTATGAGAGTTTATATATATATATGCTTTTCTATGAGAGTTTATATATATATATATATATATATATATATATATATATATATATATATATTTTTGTAGTGTAACTTAAAGTTTCATGAAACTTTTAAGTTGCATTACAAACATAGGTATATATGTATTTATTAATGCATACTTCATAGTTACATTGACCACTGTTTTGTTTGTACCATAAATTAAATCAATATTTATTTGCCTAGCTGCTTATGCATGCTATCACACACATATACCGTTGCTAATATTTTGTTATTTAGTTTATATTCACACTTCTATCTATCTATCTATCTATCTATCTATCTATCTTCTTTTCCACATTTTTATTGTATTAATTTTTTCATATATAATTTGCTTTATATGATTTCAGAAACACTGGCACATCCCAATGTCTAACTAGATAAGACACTTGAACTTTCCTTAATTAATTGAATATATATATATATATATATATATATATATATATATATATATATATATATAGTATTCTTGGATATCATGTGTATGCTTTTCTATAAGATTATGCCTGAATTTCATTTGTTTATATATATATATATATATATATATATATATATATATATATATATATATATATATATATATATATTTATTTTCACATTTTTATTGCATTAATTTCTACTGGCCTTTTTCTTCTGCTTTACATGATATCAGAAACACTGGCACATCCTAAAGTGCTTTTGATTTTCAGGCATTCTGACTTTAATAGCATTAATTTCAAGTGCAAACACAGCATTTGTTTTTTCCTCTGTAATTTTTTTTGTAACCCCATAGAATTTTTCCTATGTCATTGAATCATTACTTCAACTCATTTATTACCAGAACTTAAAACAGTCTTTAACAAAATAAAAAAAAATACTGCCCTTCTTTGAACTCTGCTATGACTTCAAATTAATTACATATATTTTTTAAAAAGTATTTGAAAATGAAAAATGACTTTTCAGCAATTAAAACAAATAAAAAGAAAGAATGAGCAGGTGCTTATGGAATGGAATTTATTACCTTTTCAGAGATTATTAATTTTCTCTCAATGTGCACAAATTATAGACATAAAATTATTACAAAGTCAGAAAAATTAATAAAAGAGAATGAATTGAACAATGATTGGAGACATTCTCTAGATTATTTGCATTTTCATTAAACTGAGACTGAAACATTTTTAGCAAATGACTTGATTGTGATTATTGGATTTGCAAGTTTTATGCATTTCTTTCTTTCTTTCTTTCTATCTGTCTATATCAGTGCATTCAGTTAATATCTATCTAAATCAGCACATTCAGTTAAAATCTATCTATCTATCTATCTATCTATCTATCTATCTATCTATCTATCTATCTATCTATCTATCTATCTATCTACGTTTGATCTCATCTACCAATCTGTGTGTCTGTCTCAGTCTGTTCATCTATCTATCTATCTATCTATCTATCTATCTATCTATCTATCTATCTATCTATCTATCTCAATGCATTTAGTTAATATCTAGCTATCTCTCTATTTCCACTTGTTCATATCTACCTATTTCTTTGTCTCAGTCTATTCATATCTATCTATATCAGCACATTCAGTTAATATCCTTCTATCTATCTATCTATCTATCTATCTATCTATCTATCTATCTATCTATCTATCTATCTATCTATCTATCTATTTGTTCATGTCTACCTAATGCTTCGTCTGTCTGTATTCATATCTATCTATATCAGTGCATTCAGTTAATATCTATCTATCTATCTATCTATCTTTCTATCTATCTATCTATCATGTATGTTATTTACATGCCTTTTTTCCTCATTTTTGTTGTTGTGATGGCAGTAGTTGGTATGTAAATAATTTAAGTAATGATAACTCCTCATACCAGAAATTCAGACATAAACTATTTATGTCATCAAATTAATTATCTCCCTCCTTCTCTCTCTTTCTCTATCTCTCTCTATATCTATCTATCTCAGTCCCTTCATATCTATCTATCTATCTATATATCTATCTATCTATCTATCTATCTATCTAAATTCATTACCTCTCTCTCTATCAATCTGTTTTATACACATTATGACCTACTATCTTTCATGAAGGAAGTGAGTCTATTCTCCAATTATAACATAATATAAATGAGTTGTACTAAAATGGTCAGAAACAAAAATATATCTATTTATTTATCTTATTTTATTTATTTATCTAAAAAATTTATTATTATTATTATTATTATTATTATTAGTAGTAGTAGTATATATATATATATATATATATATATATATATATATATATATATATATATATATATATATATATAGATATATACAGCATTAAAAAGAATTTTGGAAATATTCTTGTTGGTACTTAATATTGAAAGGCCAACATTAAAAATATTAATTAATTATGATTTTTGTCCTATAAGATGTGTATATTCAGTTTCGGATCAAAAAAGGAAATAGTAATAAAATAAAAAAAAGATAAAGGACTGATTTTGACATTAAATAACCCAACAAAGGTTGACATATTGTAAAATCAGCCAACCTAACTTGCATATTTTCCTTTCATATTCCTACTATTATACACACGTACATTTTTATAGACAGAAATGTTGAAGCAGAAACGTACATGCAAATATACTTATTCACTCATACCTATACAAAATCCATTCAATGATTGGTCAATCATTTGGTCCATCTCTTCTGTCTTACCTCCACTAAAGATATGTGGATGTGGGTGTTCCTCTATTGCCATTTTGTTTCTCATTATTGACTTGCTGATTTTTGTAGAATAGTACTGTATATTATGTATTTCATATAACTGTATTAAAAAATAAATCCAAACAAATTTATAAGGTAAAAAATAATCCTCAGATCAATATTTCAGTTTAAATTGTATACTAGTAAAAATATTTTGTATTTACATTGTATAGCAATAGAAATTATTTTGTGTTTAAATTGTATAACAAGAAAATTATTTTGTGTTTAAATTGTCTATCAAAAAAATTATTTTGTGTTTAAGTTGTGTATCAGAAAAAATTAATTTGTGTTTAAATTGTAAAGCAAGAAAAATTATTTTGTGTTTGAATTGTATATCAGGAAAAATTATTATGTGTTTAAATTGTATATCAGGCAAAATTATTTTGAGTTTAAATTGTATATCAGGAACAATTATTTTGTATTTATATTGCATATCAAGAAAATTATTTTGTGTTTAAATTGTATATCAGGAAAAATTATTTTGCACTTAAATTTTATGTCAAGAAAAATTATTTTGCATTTAAATTGTGTAACAAGAAAAATATTTTGTATTTAAACTGTATATCAGGAAAAATTATTTTGTGTTTAAATTGTATATCAGGAAAAATTATTTTGGGTCCAAGTTAAGAAAAATTACATTGAACTACTATCAGTAGAACATGGAATCTTTGGGGTGTAATATGACTTAGATACATTAAAAATAACTGAATAAGTAAAAATTTGTTTTCAGAATTTTGCTGTTTAATAGTTTTAAATAAAAAACATCCTTATCTATTGATGAACATAGAAATGGTTAAAAAAGTATTATAGGTGTGTAACTAAACATGCATAAAACTCAGACAAGAAAGTTTTAAAAATGCCAATGTAAGAATATCTTTAATAAATGTGATTGCATCTTTAATTACTTATTTGATTCAGTCATCACAGTCTGTAATCTGATTCTTTTTTGACAATAACAATTAAAAATGAAATAGTTGAAAAAAGGAAGCAAACATCAATCAGAGACAGCGAGAAAGAATTTTTAATAAAGATTACTTAAAAATTAATCTGGTAGAATAAAATGATTAAAAACAAACAGTAATTAAAATTTCAAAATAGAACAAGAAAAGTGAATAAAAAGAGAAAATAGGTGAAAACAAAAAAATCAAAAAATCAAATAACCAGAACAAAATTATTGAAGGAGATTTTTATGATTGAATTTCTGAATTTTATGATTGTCTGAATTTTTGAGATGAAGCATTTTTGTTATTAGGTTTTAAATATATTTTTTATTTTTTTTTCTTTATATTCAGGTCATTTTTCATTTTATGATTGTCTGAATTTCTGAATTTTATGATTGTCTTAATTTCTGAGATGAAGCATTTTTCTTATTAATTTTTGAATATATTCTTTCTTTTCATCGTTTTTTTCTTCATATTCAGGTTATTTTTTACATTTTATCATCATTAACTCTCTGTTTGAACAACCAACAAATTATTTTTCCTTAACATTTAGCAAGTGTCAAGTCAGCATTTCATGATTAGTCAAGTAACTTTCTGAATACTGGAGCCAAACTACAAAGAGTTTCTACTTTTAGTCATATTTGTGTGAATTACAAGCAATTTTATTTGTTTCAGTATGCAAAAGTATCTGATTATATTAATGATTTTGAGATATACCTATTAAATTAGTTTTTGAAAAATTATTTCATCCCAAGCAAGGCAATAAAGCCATTAAGATGCAAGGGGTTACTGAGAGTGAAAGAATATGAGAAAAAGAAAAACATCATTAAGCAGAGAGAACAATAAAAGAACAGAAATTAAGAAGACAGAAGATATCAATTGACATGGCATTTAAATGTTTGAAGGTCAAAGTTGACTGGAAAGCAAAAAATAAAAAACTGGAAGAGAGTTGAGTTGTTGTGCTAAATTCAAATTCAAATAGTTTCAGTTTTGCATGAAAGTCTTTCTGAAAGGTATAAATTCCTTTTTTCTCCTCCTATGGGTATGGTTACGGGTAAGCAGGGTAAACTGGACTCAGATCTTATCATCCATTTCCATTTTGATATTCTCCCAGTTGTTTTTGGAATTTGTTGTTTGTTTTCCTTATTTTTAGTGTGCTTATTATATTTATTAACTCATTTTTGTATATATATATATATATATATATATAGAGAGAGAGAGAGAGAGAGAGAGAATGAATTTTAGGAAATTGATTATAACTTACAATCAGTTTCCTAAAATTAATTATCTCTCTTTCTCATTCTCTCTCTTGCATTTTTTACTGGAAATAGATTATATTTCCTTTAATAATGGATTATATTTTCCTTTTATAATCAATTTCCTGGAAATGCATTATTGTTCCTTATAATTTATAAACCATTTCCAGGAAATTGATTATAATAGGAAATATAATCCATTTCCATTAAAAATGAGATCACTCAGTATACCCCGTGAGAGTTAAGTTTTCCAAGCCTTCCTCATGATATGTCCAAGGAATTTCAGCAATTTTTTTCCTGTTTCATTTTTGGAATGCGTGTTCGGATCTTAGTGTCACATTTTTCATCCTCTGTTAAAACGTTTCCCAGATACATGGTGTTTTAAAAAGTTTGATATCATTTGATAAGTGAAATCTGGATAAATGTATATAGTCTAGCAAATGAGAATCAACAGACTTATTATTGAGGAAAATTAGATTTATTCATCAAAATGTGAATGAGAAATTCAAATGTATGTGAATTTCACGAACGATGTCATAAGTTTTCAAAAGTTTTCAATATGTGACACGGCACACGTCAAGCCGGTAGTCGAGCTTCTTTTAAACACAGTGCAACATGTCTTGAGTGAGTCTTCAGTGCAACAGAATTTCTTTGTTTGAATTCTTCTCTAGGCTTGTAGGAAAAAGAAGAACATAGACCAGTCCCTTCACATAGCCCCAGATCCTTTTGCCATGCATACACAGCCTTCCTCTTTGAAATTTTTGTGCCATCTCCAAATCTACATTGTAATTGGTGCATTTTCAGCGAATTTTCTTATAAATGCACTTGTTCGACTGTGTTCAAGCATACTCTAAAACACAAAACGAATTTTCTTTTCCAGTGAATTCCATTTCGCTACCTGAAAAAAAAAAGTATAAACCATTAAACATAGAATTGGGAGTTTCTATAAATGCTGTTAAAATTTAAAATCGTTTGTATTAATATTGGTCAAGTTATTAGATTACCGAATGGCATCATTTTTTTTTTTCTGGAACACATTGTATAATGAAAGACATGAAAGCTTGGTGAATTTAACACTCACATGACATATTGTAGTCAACCGAAGCAGGAGAAAACAGCGTTTGAATGACAGAACACACACAAAGAAAGATTGTTACTGGGTCAAACATTACTTAGAGCAAGAAAAGACAGAAAGTTGTGGAGAACCATGATCACACAGGTTCGGAAGGGACATGGCATGTACTAGAAGAAGAAAACCCAAGTTATACAATGTAATATAGTAATAACTGTAAGTAGAAGTTTATGGAGCTTTGGCTCATTCAGATTTAGTGTTGAAAAACGTTTATTTTATTGTGATGGATGGGAAAGATAGGCTGTGCTTATTTTATTAACATATTCAGGGTGTTTAAAAAAATTGATATCATTTGAGATGTAAATATCAGAGTAACTACATAGTCTAGGCAGATGAAATTAAACAGACTTATTGTTGAGCAAAAGAAAATTTATTCATCAAAATTTGAGAAATTCAAAGGTATGTGAATTTCATGAATAATTTCACAAGTTTTCACAAGTATTCAATATGCAATCGTCTGTTTCCCAAACTCGCTCGGCCATGTCTTCCGATTCTGAAACACTCTGTCTTTGAACTTCTGCACCCGCTTGATGTATTTATATCTCCAATTTGTAACTCGCATTAAGAGTTCTACAGTTTTATTAAATTTCTTTTAGAAAGCGCACTGAAAATATTGAAGATTCATTTCCTTCACTTTTATCATTTCAATAGCACAAAAGTAAATGTATTTTTTATAATATTGTTGTGGTAGGATCCACCTAATTTGCATAGTGGAGTACCGACCATATAAATATGGTTGGTACCGGGAAGAGAGGGAGGAATCAAGAGATTCAACCAGAGACTCTGCCCGACTGCGACTCAGTCAACACATTCTCCAGGAACGGTCTTACCAGGAATATACAAAGACTATATGTAAATATTGTGTACACTTTCTTGTTTCAATACATTTTGTTCTAAGTACATTTTGTGTTGTATTATTATTCCATGCATTAGTCAAGTTTCAACAAATAAAAAATGGTACCTGAAATGAAAGCTCGTTAGATGAGATCTAGATGCTTTCTAATTCGTTGGAGGAACTCCACACTTATTAACCATGTCTTCAGTAGTGTA